TGTCTAGTTGTGTTGTGTGTGTGTGTGGGGGGGGGGGGTGGCGGCGTGCGTGTGTTTTCTAATGAAGGTTCAGGTCTTGATTGCTTTTTGAGCGGGGGGAGGGTGGAGAGGTACGGGGTTTGGGGTTTCGGACGCGGGTTTAGGTTAGGTTTCTAGATCTGACTTATCAGGCTGGAATGTGGCACTTTCTAGAACGAGTCTTTCGCGCCCTCGGGAAAGTAATAATTATTCGATATTGCGGGCAACCTTTGACACAGGAAGAAGACGGCGATTCGTAGTATCCTTGATACAAGGACCCCAAGAAGGACCCCCCCCCGCCATCCCAAGCGTTTCATGACTCCGCTTGACCCAGGCCGGTGGGATAGGGCGTTGATGCTGGTCCTCATTGGTACCCTTACCGGTTTCACGAGGCTCGGATCATTTCGAGTCTCGTCTCCCGTTGCTTTCTTCGGTGAGGCTGCCTGTTAGGGCTTGAGAAAGGTCGGGTGGCTATCGGCTTACGACGTGCATAAGTGTTCGGGGATTTCGATTGCTGGGCACCTACTGCAAATCCTTCGTTGACCCCTTGAACGCTTCAAATGCCAAGAAATAGCAAAGTTCTGAAGCGCTTGATCATAAACCCTAGATCAAAACATGTCAAACCTTGTGCCAGTCTGAAGCCGGCACGTTGTCAGCAAAAGGACTTTGGCTTTGGGTTTCGGGTTTTAAGGTTCAGGGATGGGGGTTTAGGAAGTAGGAACAGCGGCCAGGGTTCAGGTTTGAGATAGGTTCAGGGTCGTATCCTTTGGGGAGTAGAGCTATATGAAGGGCTTAGGCTTGGGGCATAGGGTTAGCATCCACCAGCACCACCGGGACAACGAGAACAGTCACAAATGTACTGATAGCAAAGTCAAAGCTTTGGGCAACCTATATAGGCATAGGGACTTGAACATTTGGAAGTACACTCCGGATATAGGTCGATAATGTACAATACATCCCAGAACCGGTTTTAGCTAATTACAAAGACCCCTATGGTAGGCTTTTGTGTGTTCCGGAACATTCAGTGGACACCTTACATACACCGCGCGGCGCAGACAGCTGATCTGGCTATGCTATGGCAGCTACTATATCAGTGAAGGTCTTGGCTACGGGCATTTGGTTTTGGTGTCCCCATTTCTGGTTATTGCATTGGTTATGACGAGTTCAGACATGACTTTGACAGGAGCTTCCTCGTGTTCGACACGGTGTCTCCTGGATGAGACTAACAGAGGGTAGTCGCTCAGGGCTGAGACAGGGGGCTGTAGTATTCTGTTGCGTGCAATATTGCTTCGTGTGCTGGTGATCTCGGAAGATGTGCCTAGGTCTATCGCCCCAAATGAACGGCTCACTTGCTTTAGGGCTTTCAATTCAGAAACCCAAGAGAACACTCCATATCGACTGACAGTAGAAGCTCTCACTTCTGAAGTAAAAACGAGGGGCAGCCCCATCTTCTGGCGAATGGTCAGCTTAGGTGGATCCAGCGGGGCCTTTATGACGAGTCCAATGAGTGGTGGAATTTGGGTACCAGCCTGGCGTCTGCAATTCAATGGTGTTGGGAGATTTCGGGGCTAGGGTGAGTGTAGAAGCCTCTAATGCGTGCAATCCTCTGAGACCCTATTCATTAGGTCATGCAATACCCAAGAACGAGCTTAAAACTCCTTGGTTCGACTTTGTATTCAAACCGCCATCGTCACAAGCACCTGCCCCACCAGATCTCCCACCCCATCAGGGCTGTACATCGCGAAAAGGACTAGCCGTGAGCACAGAAACGAGCAGTTCCTAAACCCTATACCTTAAAACCCGAAGCCCTCAAACCCTAAGACTCAGCAACTTCAGTTCTTCCAAATACATGGCTGTAGGTATGTTAACGGCTCTAGGCAAGCTTATAGACTCATTCTATGTTTTGAGGCACCCATTGTACAGAATTAAAGACCTTTTCACGTACTACCTTCAGAAAACCTAAAACCCCCGAAACCCTTGAACCGTAAACACCAAACGACTTCTTCAGAGTGGCCCATTGTCAGAAGAGTCTAACAAAGCAGGTGTGCACACGAGAGCTGTGCAATTTTGGGTTTCTCTAAGCGAGAGCCTTCCAAGCGACGATCGACATTACACGTTTTGGCATCACGTCTAGTATCTTTGTATACTAGTACCATCGCCAAGTATTAGCCGTACCATTGTTGTTACTATATAGTACCTATAGTCTCCATTGTAGTTCCTTTTTTCGGTTTAACCAAATGTATATTGAGGATTGTATAAGGTATCCCCAAAAGGAACTACAATGGAGACTATAGGTAATCATCCTAAACCCTAAACCCTAAACTCTAAACCCTAAACCAATGGAGACTATAGTACTTGTTCGTGGACATGGTCAGGTCCTGTCAGTACTGGAGAGACGATCGGCACCGACAGTTTTTGAAACCTCTGGGCTTCCTGGATTCCTGCTATACTTACCCTAACCCCCCAGGTACCTACTATATAGGGTACTAGAGCCGCTAGGGCCCTATATAGTAGGCACCTGGAGGGTTAGGGTTACCTTAGGTTCAGGGGATTTTATAATCAGCTCCAAAACCCTTGTCTAGTTATCGAGGCGCCAAAATTCGCTGATCGAGATAGCTCCGGAGCTGCCAGGCAGAGCCAAGGCTCCAAGGTCCAGGCAACGGAAGAAGACGTCTAGAGGAACCATCCTCAGCTGGTGTTGCTATAGTTCTGAGTTCTGAAGCCCGCGATCCAAGACCCCCCAAACCTGGCCAGACGCATAAAGAAAGCCCCAAACATACCAACAACATACCCAAAAATGCAGCCCTGGGTGTTCCTCGAAGAATCTGAGGCATCTTCACTGCTTTGGCCGCTTCGGCGGTGGTGTCGAAGAGTGGCTGCAGCTGGTCTGGAAGCGGCCTCCCCGAGGCCCTTTCCTTTTGGGAGCTCGGTTTTCGGCTCTTTTTTGGGGGTTGTGCTCAAAATTCGGGCCCCTTTGGATGGCTCCTTAAAGGGATCTGTAAGGGTTTCTATAAGGGCACTATAAGGGTTCTGTATGGGTCGTTTTCTAAATTAGGGTCCCGTTCTGAATTCTTTTTTCAGGGTGCCGTACTAGATTGCGGACGCAAAGAGGGATCCTAATGTAGAGAATTACCAGGTCTTTACGGTGTTTTGGGGCTGCTAATAAAAAAAACTTCTGCAAGGTCTTCTGGATTCGATTGAAGTTTTCCTACGAGATGTGTACAGTTGTTTCTATAAGACCGCCGTCCCTTCCTCTTCAGGCTCCTGTATCAGGGTTTCAGTTGACTTCTCGGGGTTTACGGGTCTATACAAGAGTTCTTCCAGGGTTTCTAATTTCTCTACTCTCGGGGCTCCTATAGGCGATGTAGGGTGTAAGGTTTAAGGGTGTGAGGTAGTCGTCAGAGTTATTGGCTGTGGGGTGTTATATAGGGTCTCTTGGTCTCTATGGGATTTCCAATGGAGGACTTAGGGCAGATGGGGTCACCTGCTTCATTGAGTGGACGTAAGCTTTAGACAGTTCATGCACTTGAGGTCTTCAGCTGCTGGGTGTGGGACGGATAGGTCCAGGGTCATGTTTAGTTTTGGCTGCTTCAGAAGGCAAGGGTGATACACCCTATATACATGGTGGGATGCTATGAGTTAAAGGACCCACAAGTAAGGGCCCCTACTTTGAAGAGAACTGCATTTGGGGTGCACGGCATCCTTGTGAGAAAGATCGTATTATAGGGTTTCCTCGCCAGGGTTCTTTGCATCGCGAGGTTTTGGGGGCGGGTTGTGTAAGAGTTTGGGATTGCTTCGGGATCTCGCAACAGTTCCAATGGGTGTTTAATGTCGGGTACCTTACTTGGGAGGCCGTGACAACAGATCCATAATGTTACGGTCCTCTAGGCTTGCATTCGATTCATGGCAAGAGGGCTTTGGGCTCGCTGCATGCGTGTAGGCAGTAAAGAGAAGCCTGAACCTGAAACCTGAAGCCCAGAACAACCCCCCCGATGAAGCCATATGAAAATCCTATATAGCCCTGATCCATATGTAGAATGATACCCACCCAACCCCCGACCCCCAACCCCGCCCCACCCCCAACACCTAAACCCTTAAGAGACCCTTTATCTGCGGTGCGACTTGGTCAGCTGGTGGCAAACCCCGACCCGTTAAGAGGTGAAGACCATCTTGGGCGGTTTCGTGATGGATGACGTGCTGTGTCTCGACTCCAAATCATGTTTTTTATTTGCGGATTGGTTTAGGGTTTTGGGCAGGGTTCTTAAATCGGCCGTGTTTACGTATCGGCTTGAGACCAAACTCTCTTGAGCTTCACGAAGTCGAGCTTAGACCCCGAACTTGCTTTTGATACCTGCTAGTGTTTGTGGTTCAGGGTGTAAGCCCTAAACCCTAAACCCTAAACCGTGTAGGGTGACTGGCGCCGGCTTTCAAGGCATTGCTTCTTCGAGCTTTGAAGTTAGGTTTTTGCTGCGCTTCTGGTTGAGGGCTGCAGGTTTAAGCGCGGGCCACGGTTTAGGGTTTAGGGTTCAGGTTTTAGGGTTTAGGGGCTTCATGGTTTGAATGTATGCGTGTGTGGAGGAGGAGGAGGAGGAGGAGGCTACGGGGCTTTGGGTTGAGGGTTCAGGGGTTGTATTTTCGTGCTTCAAAGGGGTTGTATTTTTTTTGTAGTACTGCCGCAACGTCACAGCTAACCGCCGGCGATCGACGATTCTCCCTCCCACCCTTTGTCTTGAAGCCCTGATACTCAGAGTTACCTGGGGATTTGTCGGTCCTACAGGCTTATTGCTATTCCTGCCTAGCAATGCAGCAGGTAAATCTATCTATCTATCTATCTATCTATCTACCTATCTATCTATCTGTATGTATATATACATATATATATATATTCGGATTGTAGAAAGAGAAAGAGAGAAAACAGAGAGAGAGAGAGAGAGAGAGACAGAGCTCCATTGCAGCACAGGTCATTTGGAGTACTCCTCTCC